TTAACTTCCCTCAACTTTAATTTTCTCATCTATAAAGTTAAGAGTGGTACCTACTTTGCAGTTATTGAAAACACAATTAGAAGAAATAGGAGGCGGTGTAGAGAAATGGTTTGAAAATGGACTCCGGAGTTAAATTTGGCTTTAATTTTTGGTTATACAATTCACTTTGTTTATTTCCTTGGAAAAGTTACAAATCTATCTAAGGTCCTATGTTTTTCATACATGCAAATGCTAATAGTACTCACTGTATCAAAATAGGGCAACAAATATATCTGGAGTGACTTCCATGAGCTGTAAATCAGGGGCACTGCAGGAAATTTACTAGATAAACTTATACAGTAGTACTTAAGTAGGCAGTAAGTTCTACAGAGGAAAATAGAATAGAAAAGGAGAAATGGAATATAAAATCCTTAGATCCACACTTAGTGCTTAGGAAATACCAAATAGAAGCTGTCATTTTTCCATCTACATTAAGTACCCCCTAAACTTTATCATTCATCCTTTTTCTTTCCCTATCTCTGAGGTTCCTTCATGTGGCAGAATGAAGTTGACTGTAAAACCTACATCATGATAAAATGAGCATTTTTCAGGGATTTTTGGCAGACAATTATACCTATGGGTCACATAAACATATAAGAACAAGGAATGGTCTTTTGCTACTTTTTTTTTCCATCAAACTAAGGACTCTGTGCTTGTGAGGCAGATGGCAGCACCACCGAACTAAATCCCCAGCCCTTTCGCTTTAATGTTTGATGAGGCTTACAATGAAAATATCCTGTTGAGGAACCATCCCTACCAAGAGTTAGTTGCTGTTGAAAACAAAATCATCAACAAATTAACACACTTAAATTTCATTAGTCATTCTGTAATTTGAAAGTAAGAAGAGAAGGCAAGTGAGCCATTGAAGGGTATCTCTTTCAAATCTTAAAAACTGGGTCTCTAGAAAATGATATGCTGCTGAGCACCCTCTCCACGCCGGATCTACAGACCTTTACAGCTAAATGGATGCACTTGGAGGCCATACTCAAAATATATAATAGACAATGTGAAATAGGGAGAAAAGGTCCAAAGGTGGAGAGGAAGGGAAAGTGGAAGGGGAGGGGAAAGGAAATATAGTTCAATTATCATATAGTGGACTCTCAAGCTAGGGCTGCCCTGACATAGGAACAACTTGGATTACAACCAGAATTTTAGTTTTAAATTACATACAAAGTCTTGAGTTACAACTCAAATGCCAGCCACTTGTGCTTCCAGATGGTCTCAGATACAGATTTAATCCTTAAGGCATTCTGGAAGAAACATTAAAACATCCTTTCCTGTGTGGTGCTAATGGATAAATCCAGGGCCTGGACCTCTGTAAGGACACTGAGATCGGCCTGTACATAGGAGAGAGACTTTGAAGGCTGTGTAGAGGAGCCTGAGCCTTCAATTGGCCAACTTGAGTTACAGCCAATTTCATGAACAAATTAAATTTGTAAATCAAAGGACCACTATGTTTGCTTATTCTCTTGCCATCCCTTGTCACATCCCACATTCCTCACAAGTAGTAAGTAAAGAGTATGGTGGGAAATGTCCAGAAAGCAAGCCTCACTGAGGCTGTTCCTCTCTCCTGTATCTCTTTGGAGTAAGACGTAGTCCCCTCTGCTCAGGGAATGGAGGGAGGCCTGGCTGAACCAGTGCTTTGTTAAAATCTGCCCATTTGGTGAGATTGTTTCTAGACTACACACCAATTTTGTTTCTGCCTCGGGAGACTACAGAGCAAGTGTTCACCATTATATTTCTTCAGGCAATAAATCACATGTCCAGGCTTTGTCTGGCATTTCAGGAGAAGATAAGATTTATCTTCAAACTTCTGGGATATTGAACAAGGAACATTTAAAAATGAACACAAAGTAAATAAGTAAATTTTTAAATTATATAGGAAAATAAAAGACCAAGAAAAATCTAAACTATTTTGAAAGAGAACAACCTCAGAGAACTCAAATTTCTTGATTTCCATAGGTCTACAGTAATCTCAGAGTGTGGTGTTGGCACGAGGACACACACAGAGATAAATGTTACAAAATAGCATGCCTAAAGTCGATCCTTGCGTATATGGACAACTGTTTTTGACAAGAATATAAGTAAGTCACCTGAGAAAGGATAGTCATTTAAACAAATGATGAATGAACTAAGAATCCAAAAGAGAAAGCAAAAAGATCTGGATGAGAGTATAAAACTTTTACCTTATGTGACACAAAGATTTATTAGATAGGGCACAAAAAGCATAAACAAAAATTGGTGGTGCAGACGTTAGCAAACACTAAAAGTCAAGTTTATTCAATTACCTTATCCCCCATAGAACTTGTCGTTAAGTATTGAACAGTACTTTTATCATTTCATCTCTTCTAGTACCAGATCCAGAGGCCTTGTGTTTTCCACCTTTCTGGCTATCTGCAGCTTATGCTTGGCTCCTGAATGCGGTCTGGGGAATGAGTAGCTGCCAAAGCATACCTTCAGCTAGAAGTCTTGGGAAAGGCCTTGCAAAAAATGTAGAAATAAGTTGGACTCAGAAAACCAATAGTGTGGAATACTGGGCCTCTATATAACGATATCCACTCTGATACTGATGAGGGTAGGGAGGTATTTATCTTATGTTTGATTCAAAAAACAACCTGTTTAGATGCTGGCAATGTAGACCGTGCAGGATAAGGCTGAGAATTGGGCCTTTACTGGGGTCCATGAGATCTGGGTGCAGCTGCTACAGCTTTTCCTGTACTGTACTCTTCCATATTTTCCCAATCACATTTAAGACAGGAAGTCAAATGGCAGAGCGTCTTAATTACTTCCTTCATTGCTGAGACACAAAATTCAACAATCAAAGATAGAGCAGAAGTTTATTTTGGCTCATCATTCCATCTGTATTCATCTGGCTCAAGGATGGGATGACATGGTACAGGGGTGTGGAGGAGGAATAACTGCTCAAGGCATGGTGGTATGGTGGACAAGACGCTGAGAGGGAAGCGAAGAGCTAGGCAGGAAGATTGACCCTTCCAGGCTACACTCTGTGGGACCCACCTCTTCCCACTTGACCCCATCTCCTCGCAGCAAGGCAGCCAGCCCTAGACCCTCATAATCTAGTCACCTTTCCAAAGCCCATCTATGAGTACATGAGACTCTTCAGGGACGTCCAGACATAAATCATAACACAAGAAAATAATCTTTTCCAGTACAAGTCATTTAGATCTTACAAGGCAAAGAATATTTACTTAAGTGTGACTCATGTTCGGCCACTGCTAAGGTTCTAAGTTTATATTGTTAGTACCAAGCAATTATACAAAGAGGAAAAAAAAGAAAAATATTTTAAAATGAAAAGATTCATTGAAGGGGAAATAAAAGAACACTGAATAAGACCTAGTGATCCTCCTAGGCATCCACCATTAGCACAACTTTCTAACTGAGTAAGACAGCAGCAACATTTCTACTCCCCAGGGCAGGATACAATGTAATTAAATAGACCCTGGCCCCAGAATGTAGTAAAGCATATTACCCAAATTAAGCTTATGATTGGAGATTTTCTCCTGAGTTTATATTATAGATGGTAGACTCCAGAAAACCAACATCAGTTGAGTGGTTTCCATATAAAGCAGAAATGTAGATTTCCTTCTTCAGTAAGGTAATCCTACAAGTCATTTTCCAAACATGGAATTTTGAAAGTGGCCACTATCGATCATTCCTTTGGGATAAGAAGTATACACCAGTACTGTCCAGGGACAGTGAAACTATGATCAATCTCTTCAGTGACCATTGAGCAGCACCAGGCTCTGTGTTCTGGAAAAAACAAAAAAACAAACAAACAAACAAACAAAAAACACAAGAGCTTGGCTTGGAGAAACTGTGGCCAGGATCAGGAATCAGTGTGTTCTCTAAATGTGGTAGAGTTAGGGTCAATAATATTAATTATTGGCACCCTAACTTTGCAGTCATATAAGTGAAGCTTGTTAGATATTGGCCTTAGACTAATTCGCCTTCTGAAGTCCTAAAGAGACGATAATCATTCCAGAGAAAGCTGCTGAAAGAGCCTCAATTTCACCCAAAAGACTACCCTTGGCTAAAAGTTAACAAAATAAGGAACAGTAGAGAAATTTGATTCCCTTCAACTTAATTCACAAGGGCAAACATATTTGATTTCTTACTTAATTCCTTTGCTTTTGAACTTGCAAAGCAATTTAATTTTTGGACTAATTTCTCCCCAGGAATTTGATAATTAGAGGGTGTTTATATTCAATTTGGGGAATCTCTATGTTCCTGACGTTTTATTATTGAGTGTATCTTAATGTTGTCATCTAATTTTATTGTAGTATCTCTGGTGGGCTACACTCGAAAATATGGCTAGACATAATTTGGAATGGGAAACAGAACTGAAAATGAATGTTCATGTTTGGCTATAGAGTGGCCTCAGAGTTAATTTAATTAACACACACTACTGCCCCATTTCATCACCATCAAGATGCAAAATCTGTACTGCCCACCAGAGGCCTCAAAAGATACCCAAAGTACAGCGATTCGGAGTGGAACGGCCTTAAAGCCAATGCTGACTCTCTTGAGATCACAATCACATCATTAAGGAAGATGTCCATAATCTCGGTCTTCTCATTCCACAAAGAGAAAAACATTTTATCATCCTGTCTCTGACATTTCTATTCTCTTCTGCAAGACAGGCAGAATACACTTTGCAAACGAACTAACCAAGCAACACCCTTGCGCAGAAAAAGATGTGGCTTCTCTCTAACCCTCTCCCTCAAATCAGTGGGAGGCCGTGGTCTGGGGGAGCTACTCGTGCCAGCTTCCCTCAGCTATGTTACTTTATAGGGAAGAAGTTAGCAAACATGTTTTATTTCCCCATCTGTTTTCTCTTTCGTCTTACTTCTATGTTTGTTCAAAGCCTCATAAGGAAAGAACGGTATTATTCATGAGGTCACAATAGGGCCCCCTCACAAACAGTTCACATTGGGTAAGGACCCGGATGCTCCATTACTATTTGCTGAATGAATCATGAGAGCTGAGATATACAAATCACATCAAAGACAAGTGGGTCCCAAATCAGAGAAATTGCTCAGCAAACATATTGACATATATAAAGAAATGCTCTTACATCATTGCCTTTTCTCTTTTACTTTCCTTTTTAGTTTTATGTTAGGATTCCCTATTTTTAATGTTCATACAGAGATTTCTTTAACTGAAATACCGAATAGTTTCTCTGGTGTGAAAAACTGTCATAGTACACAGGATCCTAATGAGATAATTAATAATGTGAAATAGGAAGTAAAGGGCTAAAGGTGTAGGGAAAGTGGGAAGGGTGGGGGAGAGGTAATAAGGGAGAGGAAACAAATAGGAGAAAATGGAAATAAAGTGTTTGTAAATGGGGGGAGAGGAGAGGGTGAAGGGAGGGCAGGGACAAGGGGAAAAAATGAGAATCAAGACCTGTCATGTAAAGGTACAGGATCCCAATAATGAATGTAACTGTATTGTATATCTAGATTGTACCAATAAACTCAATAAAAAGAAAAAAAAAGAAATGCATAAGCCGTGTGGGAGTGGAATTTAATTTGACCAATAATCCAGTTAAAGGAAACAGATGGAAGATGCACGGTGACTGCCAAGGCTCTGTCCACGATGGGGGGGGACTTAATCCAGTTAAAGGAAACAGATGGAAGATGCACGGTGACTGCCAAGGCTCTGTCCACGATGGGCAAGCTGGGGGACAGGGGCCGTCCTTGGGGTGTAGGCTTTATTAAACATTCAGTGTACGGGAAAATCCCTCAAGAAATCTCTCTCATTTTATACTTTTACCAATATAGAGAATTATTGTCTGTTATAGAATTATTGGGAAAACCCAAATAATCAAAATCAAAATCAATGATTTGAAGTCTGACATTACATAAAGAATCAAGGGTAGTAGTGCATACATTCGCACTTTTTATTTTGCAGTTAAAATACATGGCTTTATATAACATTTTTATCAAAATAGGATGTAAAGTCTATTTTTGCCTCTCCTTTTCACTGTTGTGTCAATATTCAAATATCAGCGCATGTGCTACCATATGGTACTTTAAAATGAATGCAAATTTTACATGATCTAGATATATAGTAATCTATTTCATCTATCACGTGTGTTGACATAGCTGTTTCTAGCTTTTCTCTATAAAAACAAACAATAAAAATACAGATTTGTGTGTACTCCTTGCCCATACAGATTTGTTGAATTAATTTTTCATGAGATGAATTGTTTACCATGTCTTATAGAGCATTTTGGAATCAATGTCTTACTGCATCTTCATAAAAGCCTATGAGATATTGCTCTGTCAGTTTTACATAAGAGAAGACCAAGTTTAGGGTAGTTGAATGGTACATAACTAATTAGAGGAATAACCAGAGTTTTCCATGTGTCTTTTACCAAAGCTGGGCCTAAGAATCCCCCTAGAGCTTCAGGACCTGGTAAGCTTTTTCCCAGGTAAGTCATTCTCTGAGGAAACTATGATAATGAGATTCCTTTTTTAATCTATTTTGTAATTAACAAGCATCACTGAAACTCTTTTGAACTTTTCTTGTTATTTCCAGTAGCTGACTTCAGATGATTGTAGTATTTAGTTTCCCAGAGAGTCATTCATGTCATTTGATCTCCTATAAATAATAAACATTTCATCCTTTCCAATATTCATGTCTCTTTCAGAGGCCAGTAGATGTTACTATTTCATTTGGACTGGCTTCATCTTCTCCAGTGGATCTTCAGTTAGCTGGGAACACACAGATGACTGAAAAAGAACCCTCACACCTTTCATCTTAAAGACAAACACTACTCTTCCTAAGAACTAAGATTTTGCTTTATAAAGCATAATGTTAAATTTCATCAAATATATGTTTAACAACTATTAAAATGTTTTTCCCTTTAAGCTATTAATATTATGAGTTTTGTTAATAGATATTCTAATGTAATGCCATACTTGCTTTTCTAGAATAAATCCTACTTAGTCATGGTAAATTATTCATTGAATATGCTGCTGGTTTTTATTTTCTAACATATTATTTAAAATCTTTACTTCATATATGAGAAATTATTTGGATTTTTAAAAAATCTGTATCATCCTAAGTTGTAGCAACCAGGTAAAAATAAATAAAGCTTTTGCAAAAGGCTTCTTTTCCTATGCTCTGTTAAGTTGAAATAGTATCAGCAGCCTTTTAACTACTCCTTCAAGGACCATTAAGCACTTGTAAAATCATCTAGGCTGATACCTTTCTTGGATCTAGTTCTTTAGACAAGCTTTTGATTTATTTCAAGGTTATCACTGTACTGATACGTTCTATCTCATTATGTACCAATTTTTATAATTAACCCAAAACTATATACTCTAAATAATCTTTGAAGATTAGTCTATAATTTTACAAAGTATCTTTGTGAATTGATGTGATTTGCTTGTATTTGTCATTGTTAATTTTTCAGAGTTTCTAAATCTAAAAATGTTATTTAATATTTTATCCATATTTGTTTTCACAAAATAAACTCTTGGAATTAAATATATATTTTATTCAATTCTGTTTCTTAATTCATAATACTTTAATTCTTATTAATCCATTCCTCCTATGTCTTTGCATTTGTTTTAATGTTCTTTCTCATTTATTTTGTCTGGTTAATTCTTTTTCTTTCCTCCTAAAGCACTTCTGCCCTTTAAAAACATGCATAAGTACTATAATATTGATCCATGCATCCTTTTCTGTTGCTTTCAGAAGAATTATAATTTGACTAAGAATACAATTGGAGGGCATAACTTTTTCCATCAAACTGCTATAATCATTGCTTTACTATCTTCTGATACTTAATGCTTCAAAGAAGTCTGAGGTCTATCCAGACTTTCCATTTCCCTTTTAGTTATTTGTTTGTATTGTTGATTAGTCAATTGCTGTAATGCTATGATCCTTTTAAAATTCTTTCTTCATCCTTTTTTTAATCACTTTTTTTTTTTTTGTTTTTTTTTTTTTGTTTTTTTTTTTTTGGTACCGGGGATCAAACTTGGGTCCTTGTGCTTGCAAGGCAGGCACCAGAACCACTGAGCTAAATCCCCGGCAGCACTTTCACTTTTAATTAAGTTTCCCTTTTACTGGAGAACCTTTCCATATGTACTTCATCTGGGATTTTCCACAGGCTGCTTATTGTTATTCTGCCCACTCCGAGAGTGGAACAGAAGTCACTTTCTAAATCTATAGGGCTTAGAATTAGATTGTGAACAAGGTCAAGCCCTCTGGAGAAGTGTCAGGCTATGGACATCCTGGTCAGTAGCCAGCTGGCCTGCCTGAGGCACGATCATTACCTCCTGGCTGTCTTCCCTCCAGGGATCAAGGGATGAGCTGTTCTAGGCTGAGATGTGGAGCTCCAAGGGCAAGCTGAGGTTTAACTCTCAGTCTAGGCGGGAAGGCACCAGAGGATTATATTTGGAGGGGTCAAATTTGCCAGATAAATTCTAATAGAATAATAAAAACTATTTACAAACACACATCACTTCTTAAATAGGAAAGGAAGCAGGAACAAGGCAACCTTGAAGATAACTTAGACTCACACTCAACTTGAGTTTTCATTTCTTCAAGATTCTGGGTGGCAGGGAGGACTCATCAATTTTTCAGCGGTATATTTCTTCTATTCATGTTCCAATTATCAAGGCTGTGAGAAACCACCTACATGACTTGTCTTGCATGCTGAATTTCAATTTTGCTTCTGGTACTTGTTCTATATATTTTTTTTACATTTTTAGGAGAGGTCAGGGGGCTGAGCCCCTCTGCCTGAACATAAGTGGTCACATGTGTTTGGAAATGAGAAAGGCTAGAGGAGAAAGCAAGCATTGCCCATGGAAAACAAGATTAACGGTTCTCAAATGTTTGGGGAAAAGTATCCTTCCTAATTCAGCACCGAGGGATACACACCTCAGTCATGGAAGGAGCCAGAAGAATTTAGGAATTTGAAAATGGATACATAATAGATAGTCTCACGAGAAAGTGGAAAGTATGATCTGACTGTAAACAAGCCTAACACCCTTGGTGATGAAAACAGACAGTTATATCTGATAACATTAATACATTACAGGGACTAGGTTTGTAATGCTAGAACACAGGAATATGGACTGGTCGTACCATATGGAAAGGCCACTATTTTTAAGAATTAAATAACTGACATTCAGCTTGTTCCAACTGAAAATTACTTTAAACATCCCAATGAATATAATACTTTAGAATTTACTTGTTGAGTTCTATCTTCGTAAATATCACCATCTTACCACAGGAGGATTCTTGCGAACCTTGAGGATATGCAATTTACACACGCAGAATAAACGGGTAAGATGTGCTCCTGAAATACTTCATATTTCTGAGAAACAGAGAAACAAGAAAGACTCTACTGAGAAGACCATGAGAGTGATCTAGAAACTGAAAAACAAGACTACTCTTAGTAAAGCTTAACCTGTTTATGTCGGTACACTCCACATACACTGGCATTTCGTATGTAGCTCACTGAAACTGCACATTAATTTTGGATACTATTATATCAATATTAAGAGGTGGAAACTGGGACTCAATAAAGTTTTATATGTTCACTTAGTAAATAGCAGAAGCCATCTTCTCCTCAAAATATCAGAGGGCACTGTAGTTTCTTGCTTAAGACAAAGAGAACATGACCTCAGACTCAAAAAGTTAATTGGCAGAACTATTGGAATTCAGATTATAAAATTAAACTGTATGCCTCGTAAGTCAAATTTCTAAGTTGAATGCTGTCAACATATTAATTCAATTTTAATGCCTAAACAATATTCCATAATCCCAAGCAACATTACACACACACACACACACACACTCTCTCTCTCTCTCTCTCTCTCTCTCTCTCTGTATTGTATCAATGTAATATTATTCTTACGTAACTTAATCTCTTTCCAAATACACACTTTCAAACTGTGTAAACAGTAGAAAGAGACTGTGATAGTCACTGTTGATTTTAGTTCTGATCTCGTGTATCCAGTGCACAGGCTTGGTCCTTTATAAGCCAATCCTGCTACCAACTCGGGCAACTGCTTCCAAGGTTTGCCCTAATTTCCAGCCTTGGGCTTTATTCTCTGCCCCTTTAGTATTTCTGCCTCTCAAGGTGTGAATGGCTGGGAAATGTACTAAATTAAGAAAAACATGAAATTCGCAGATCTGGCTCTCCATAGCTCTATTTTCCCTGAGCAGATTCATACTGGCCCTTGCCTGCTTTTTCCCAGGCTTCCTGAAAGACTCCCCCAGGGCGTGCTTAGTTCCGTTAGCTGTCAGCCGTAGATTTGGGTGGGTTGTGCTCTAAATTTGGATCTTATTTCTTCTGTGGCCCTTATCCTGCCAAAATTTCTCCTGAAAATGTCCAGCTTCACTGCTTTCGCTTTTAAGTACATTTAGTCTGCAAGGCTGTGGAGGAAGCTGCCACTGTTTTCCAAAGCATAGCCGTGGGCATGAGCAGCTCCCTTTATCGTGGCAGCTGTGAATTCTCAGCCCTTCCTGCTCTTTCTGTTGGTACAGTTCTGGTTTCCTTTATAAGTTTTCTTTTTTGAGATCATATTTCTAATTTCTCTCTGCTTGTGAATGCTTTCTGTGTTCCTTTATATGGTCTTTATAATTTTTTATCCATTATTTATAACCGAATGGGTTTATATTACTGCTTCAATACTTCATTATTAACAGAAGTGATTCCAAAGCCTTGTTTCAGAGACTTTCTTTGATTTTGCTTGTGGCCCATTAGGCATGGCAGAAGACAGAAGAACAAAAAAAATCTTCATATTTAGTAATCAGAGATGCCTCACGAAGACAGAAATATTGCCTGAAAGATGGTAAGTTATATTGCAAAGCTCTAATAATTAAGAATTTGAAGTCAGATCCATAGATAACTTTAATACAGGACCAGTTGCTATAAGAATGCATGCTGTTGAGAGCCTGCTTCACTGGAATGTTTATGTCATATTTGTTTTCCATTGCTTTGCAACATGTTGGCACAAAGTGAGCAGCTAAATAAGGTAACTGCTTATTAATTTACAGTTTTATAGGACAGATATCAGTACAGCAAGGCTGCATTCTCTGCTCGAAGGATCACACAGCTTAGATCAAGTCACTGACCAGGCTAGTCTCTCATCTAAAGGTCTAGAGAGAAAATGCAGTGGAATTCATTGATAACATGGCAGAATGAGTTCCTTGCAGTTGTAGGACTAAGGTTTCCATTTCCTCACTGGCTGTCAGCCAGAGGCCTCTCATCTTCTTAACACCCTGTTCTTTCTCACATGCTCCCACTCTCTTCAAGCCAGCGGTAGTACAGTACATCTAAACCAACCCCACATCTCCAATCTCGCTCACTTCCTTTTCTGCCACCAGCTGAAGAAAAACTCATATAAATTATTACTCTGCAGCTAACATGCCCTGTTTCAATAAGCAAAGCAAGAAAATCCCATGCGACTAAACTACTCTTGCCTAAAAAAGTATACACACTTGCTTAACACTATAGAAAGAGAGGTTACTAACTTGCACAGACTAATTCCATACTTCCTTTTTTTTTTTTTTTTTTTAATGCCAGGGACCAAACTCAGGACCTTGTACTTGCGAGGCAGGCAGTGGAACAACTGAGCTAAATCCCTGGCCCTATTCCATACTTCTTTCCAGTATTTGTGGGTGATTATTTGATTTCCACATTGCATTTTGAGACCTGAAGCACACAGTTTTTACTTCAAACCATGGAGAGAATCAAACAAGTTATACACAGAAAATGATTTATGTGCGATGCTCCCTGCAGCTTCATTTG